TTCGAAAACGGTAAAACTCAACTGTTTAACTCTGGGGGAGTGTTAAAATGAGCCTATTTCCAAAAAAAAGTGGAGTATCCCTTTAACATCCATGAACAAATTATGTTTGTTTAACGTAACTCAGTTACGTGGAACCTGATAACATAAAGTCCATTAAAGCTAACATATCTTTTTTTTTTTAGTGTATCAGATTAACTCAAATTTAAGAAACCACCTTTATTGGTTAACATTACATTAAACTGTCATGTGATTGGTTTTGTCATTGGCTGTCATGAAGCCATTAACATTTAATGACAAATTCAATTAGTACCACTAGTTGAGGTCACGAAAAATATTCATGACAGTTATAATGCCTCATGACAGCCATGGTCAAAGCCAAACACATGACAGTTTAATTTCATTTTATGTGAAGTTGTCATGACAAAGACATCTTAAACAGTCATATTTTCATTCAAAATGTCATTATTGAGCGAAAGACACTTAATGACAGTTGTCATAAACATGCATAAACCATGTCATGCCATGATTATGAAGGTGTCAGTCTTATGCACACCCCTTCAAGTAAAGTGTTGCCAAACACTGGACGCCAATCACATTAACTGTTAGTTAAGTTATTTCAGTACGTACAAAGAAACACGTCAGCAAAGCCTCATGGTTTGCAAATGATTCAATTCATCTTTTTCATCTTCTTTTTTGTGCTACTTACAGAATAAAAGCTTGTGATTGAGCATCTAAACTTATGAATAAAATAAATAACAGAAATCAGTTTCAAAGGACACTGATCTGATGACAGCTGTAACTAGACTTGAAAGAGCGCTTGAAAGAAACATGCTCGTCCCAGCTAATGTGTTCAGAATGACGAGAAATTGCTCTCATGTAGTAAGTGGTAGCCTATAATTTACATATAGTGTGTGGTGAACTAATAAAGGCTTTATAATTAAGGTGAGTGAGATGAAGGCCTGGAAGTAGCCGGTATATTCTGTGTGATTTCCAAGCTAATTTAATTTGGTTTATTACACTTAAAAGCTTGTGTTGCTCCCCACATCGCTGGCAAAGGCTTTTATTTTCACAGTGTGTGTTACTGTATATTAAAGGCAGAAACTCTCCCTTCATCTCTCATCTGATGATTACATTTCCCATGTCTGTGCCTATAGGGCATATACTGTCCAACATAGATCTGATATTGATGAAACATGAGCTTAAAATCAAGTATTAGGCCTATATGAACTGCATAGACCAATATGTGAAATGATTAATGTGAATATTACCATTTACAGTAAATGTTTGGATTTGGTGCGATTTTATTTTTAAAGCTTTTGAAAGCAGTCTTTTATTCTCACCAAGGCTGTGTTTATTTGATCAGAAAAAAAATCTAAATCAATTTCTTTTATTTAATTTATTTTTTAATATTTTAATATGTAAATAATTTTGAAAAGTTATTTTAAATTCTGTGATCAAAGCTGAATTTTCAGCATCATTATATACTCCAGTCTTCAGTGTAACATGATCATTCAGAAATCATTTCTAATATGATTATTTTGATGCTCCAGAAGCATGTACAGTATTATTATCAAATGTTGTGCTCAAATGAATTAGTTTTTATTTTAAAATTTAAAACAATGTAAATATAAACAAATTAAAATCTTTATTGTTAGTCTTTATTGTATACAATTAGTCTTTATTGTATCTTTTAATCAATTTAATGCATCCTTCCTAAAAAAAAAAATATTTTTTTTTTTAAAAAATCCTTAAAACATGGAAGAAAAAAGGAATATTTGAAAGTGATCCCAAAGTACTACACTTTTTTTTTAGTAATACTTCACAATAAGGTTCCATTAGTTAACATTAATGAATATTAGTCAACATGAACTAATAATAAACAATACTTTGATAGCATTCAGGCTTTATGCACAGCTTCACTACTTCCCGAACTTCAGCCAGCTCCTTGTTTCCTGTCTGCCATTATTGGACACATTGATTAATTCAGGTGTGCTTGACCTCAGTAGTCACGGCAACAATATTCAGACACACCTGCATTAATCAATTTTGCCCAATAATGGCAGACAGGAAACAAGGAGCTGGCTGAAGTTCGGGAAGTAGCGCAGCTGTGCATAAAGCCCATTAATGTTAATTTCAACATTTAATAATACATTATTCAAATCAAAAGTTAATGTACTGTGAAACATGAACAAACAACTAACAATATACAACAGTAAATTCAGTAAAAAATGTAGTTCTAATGTTAGTTAACTAACAAATGAGACCTTATTGTACAGTATTCATCAGAAATAAATGTCAGTTTTGTGTCATTTTTACCATGCAGATTTCTACTGATATGCACCGTATGCAGCATAGATGATTTGAACAATAAGCTATGATACATAACCACTGAACAAATGCTCTGTCTCTTCTTATCTGCACACACTCAGAGTCAGCATGTGTTCGACACCGATCCAAGCGGCTGAAAAACATCTTAAATGACTGTTGATGCCTATACAGCAGAGGGATATCATTACCGTTTACTCAGTACTGGACCTGATGAACAGTGCTGCTGCATTTCAATTCTGTCCATTAAAAAGAAAAAGAGGTCATTTATATTTAAAGGCTGCCATCTGCTGGTCATTAACGCATTATGTGTTATAGTAAGAAATCTTGGCCTTCTAAATGATGCTGCAATCAACCCCTCTATATGACTAATGCACAATCACCTGAATTATTAAGTGAAATTTGTGATTAGTTTTGGTGGCAATCAACATCGAAGGATCTGGTCAGGCCTGAAACAAATCAGCATGTTCATAATGTGACCAATAAAGGTCCTAAAATAATACATGTATAAATATGCAATAATCCATATTCACAGTGTTTCTGAAATGGATGGAAGAATAATTCAGCAAAACTATTTTTACAAATGAATATTCATGATAATCCCTCAGCTTTGTAAGTTAATGTAAATATAAACAAAAACTAATCTTCTGAATTACACACAGGAATACCAGAGCAGATTTCTGGTGGCCAGCTAATTAATAAATCATCAATGAATTAATATGCATTTATTAGCTGGTGGAGAAACACTCATATGTTCTTCAGATCACTGCTCACTTCTTCTCTTTCTCATTAGCAGTGTGGCTCATGTAATGACTCCCGTTTGCAGGATGTCTCTGTTGATATACACTCTAATTTTGTTCTGCGCTGCTCTCTGTAAAACATTGATTTAAAGACATCTGCCAGATCCACATGGGTCCAGAAAACAGATGAATTATTCATTTTGATATTATTCTGTATGCTTTATTTATGCTCTTCTATGAAACACCCAATGTGATTTCCTCAAACAAACTACATTAGGCAATAATGAATGCTTAACTGGCTTTACAGTTGTTTGTTGACTATTATAACGTATTAATCGCATGATGACAAAAGTAAAGTCACAAATGTGTTAACACGCAAAAATTATGAACGATGGATAGACTGCTCTAACAATTTGACATCCTAAATCCAGTGTTTTCAAACACTAACACAGATACTGTATAGTGGCTCCTCCATGTGGCAAACTTATGAATAGCCACAACACTGCAATGATCTATATTGTCAACACCTTCATCAGAGAATAACACAACACCATAAGATTCAAAAAGACGAGTAGGCCTATTTATTGAGGATATATTTAGAAATTGAAATGGATTTTAATACATTAAACATGGAATAATCTCTCAAAAACAATAAAATACCACACAGATTGTTTTGACAATTTGAAGTAGGCCCTCATTTTTTTTGTGTGCAATATTTGTTTTCCTGTTAAGTAGCCTGTGCAACAATACAGAATATAGCAGTAACTGGTGCAAGTGAGATTTCAAAATGACCAGAAAGGTAAAATCACAGTAAAAATGATTAAACACACACACACACACACACACATATTATATTGTCATTTTGTAGATCTCAAACTATTCAAAAATATGCGTGCCACAACCCAGATAGAAAAAGTATGAAAGTTCAAACTGAGTTGGAGTCGTCAATGGCATGTTAAAGGTACGATTACCAGATAGCACAAGTCTATTTGATGTGATTTTTACATCTGGAAGACGTATTTTTAAGAGTGTTTGCTCATCTGCAATACGTCTATAGGACGTTTCCTGTCAGATGTCAAATAGACATCTAGAAGATGTTTGTTCTAAACGTCTACTTGACATCTGACAGGAAACGTCAGATGAACAAACACTCTTAAAAATACGTCTTCGAGATGTAAAAATCACATCAAATAGACTTGTGCTATCTGGTAATCATACCATTAACATGCCATTGATGACTCAGCTCAGTTTGTTTGAACACATTTTTCATACATTTTAGATGGCACACGTACGTCTGCAAGATGTCTGTTAAAGAGCACTTTATCTGGAAAGCATCTACTGTTTACTAACATCTGGTAGACATCTTTAAGATGTCAATTTAACAAACATTCTAAATCATTACATCTAAAAGACGTATTCTAAACATCTATTTGACATCTGACCGGAAACGTCCTATAGAAGTATTGCAGATGAGCAAACACTCTAAAAAATACGTCTTAGATGAAAACACACACACACACACACACATCAAATAGACGTCTCTGTGATGTGGGTGTGCTATCAGGGTTGTTTTTCTGATGTTCAAAGTGCCTTTCCCTTGTCTTCCTTTTTTAACCTTCATGAACAAATGTAATTTCTACCACATGCCAAATTATTTACTGTTGTGGTGGAATGTAAACACCTCTTTATAAAATGTCTAACTTCTCTTAGCATTGTATGACATCCTAACACACAGCTAAATCCTATTTCACACATTACGCATAACTTGACTAATAACCAAGCAATAAAATATTATTTTGTTCACTACTGACTGAGGCTGAAAGTCTGTGATTATGTATTACACATTCACGTTGTCCACCCAATAAACAAACAAGCAAGGGCGTTTGGTATATTTGCGTGAGTCTTTCAGTGTCTGCGCAAACCTCAGCGCAGCGAGGACGTGCTAGGCGCACGGCGCGCTTGATTAAATGACGTCACTGTGTTTCATGTCGACGGGAGTGTGCGCCATCTTGAAGCGAAAGCAAATCACGGGCTGATCCCGCTCTCGCTGAACCCGCTCTCATTCCGCGCTCGTTCATACCGTCCGCCCGGCTGAGCTCGAGGATAAGCCGCGCTGAAGGCTCGAGGCACAGGCACCGGAGATGATGGCAGGTAAACGCGCCGCGCTGAGGGTTGTGTGTGTTGGTAGGCGGGGGCGCGAGCAGCAGCAGTGCGGCCTAAATATGAAACCAGCCCCTTTACTGAGACTACATCAAACCCACGTCCACTGCTTTATCTCAGTATGCATGCTCGTGCGGGGCAGGGGTTTGAGTGCAGAGTGATTAAATGTTTCTGATAGGTTGATCTGTGCATGCATTTAAATGCTGTTGTGTTGTTGTTGCAGGGGTTGGTGGAGGCAATGATTTCCAGTGGTGCTTCTCCCAGGTCAAAGGATCCACAGATGAAGATGTTGCAGAAGGTAAATAATGGTTTGCATTGGTTTTAAACACCCTTGGGTGAGTATGCATGCGAGATTAGGTGTGTTGTATATGGAAATCATGCATGGCGAGATATGATAGGAAGAGATGGAGTGTTGTAAATCCATGGAAATACACACGTTCATCCCATAGATTGACATAACTGTCCAAAAAAAAGGTGTTCTCAACCTTTTTCAAATAGTAGATGGATAGACAGGTGATCTTTGTGCGTCTAACGTTGCATTGCAGTACTGTAAATTATACTGTTTGGTTTTGAATGACAGATTGCTTGTGATGTTCCTCATTTGTAAGTCGCTTTGGGTAAAACCACCAGCTCATAGGTGTCAGGTGTAATGCACAGTTTGCTGGACATTACCAACAAACACAATGACAAGTAGATGTGTGTATATTTGCATACGCACAAATGCATGGACATGCAACATTGATTTAAGTAGAAATTAAGTTAAACCCTAATTAGAGGAAAACCTACTGATGACTCAAGTTGCACTCAAAGGCGTGTTTAAATTGTTGTCCAATCAAATCCCCGTCATATACTACTTAATGCAAGATACCACAGGAAAAAATTAGTCACCATACCTCCCCAGTTGATTCTGTACATTTCATACAAGTTTTCTGAAATATTATGTGTGAATATGCAAATTAGCCATTATCTAATTTGGAAATCTGAACATTGGATAAAGCCAGGTTCAATTTTTTTGTTGACGTAGAGGTTTTTACTCAGCTGATTTTCTCACTCCATAAATCAGATGATGCATTTTCACCATGTTTAAAGAAATAAAATGTCCTATAAATCAGGCACATGATAAGAACAAACCCCTCTGTAAAAACCTCTGCAATTTCTTTTACTGTAAGTGCTACTGAAGTCAACATTTCTTAATCGTATTGAAATACGTTTTGCATTTGAGATTTAAGCAAAAAGATAAAGTTTAATAAAATAAACGTCTGAAAGCTGTTATGGAAACAAAATAGCCTACAATCTCGAGAAGAAAAATAACAATGTGTTTTCCTGTATTGTCTTGCCTTAACTCTGACTAGCAATGACGAGTAGCGGATGAAATTGGCTATATTTAAAGAGAACAATATGTCAGGTTTAGTAGAAAATATGTCTGCATGAGAAAGAACACCGTGTTCCTCATACTATTTTGTTAGTTTTTTTATCTCATGAAGGCAAGTTTTGGCAGTCAGCAGCATAGTACAGTAGTAACAAATTAAAGATATGTATTAATATGACATGACATTATTATAGATTGCTAGATGAGTGTCAGTGAGCATGTGTGCTGCATTCTGGGGGCTCCAGTAGGGAAGCACATCCTGCCTTTGAAACGGCGGAAAGCACGTCCAACTGGTCCGACCAGCTCACGTTATCCATGTGTCGTGTCTTAGTGTGTGTTCCATCCAGAGATCAGTGAGTGAGGCTTGGGAATACAGTTGTGCTTCTGAATCTGAGAAAGCAAATTGATGTTCATTGTGGTGCTTCGATTTTTTTTTTTGCCATTTTTATTTGCTTTTATTTATTGCATTTTTATTATTATCTGCATCAGATATTTTACCTAAATCTGTCAGGTTTGTGTGTTGCTTGTTGCTTTTTATAAGACTTAAATGTTGCCTTTTATTTGACAGTTTTATTCAGTTCAGAGAGTTTCTTAAAAAAAAAAAAAAGTGTCATTGCTGACTCCGTCTCATGTCATTCTAAACCTACAAGTCTTTCATTCAACTTCAAAACACAAATGAAGATATTTTCCAAGTGCTCCAGACTAACTTTTTTTTACTAGGAGCGCTGTATCCCTGACTGAACCTTTTAGGAGCGCAAGCAGAAAGTTTAAGTGCACACCTTAAATCAGCTTGCATTATTCAAATTGTTCAATTATTCAGATTTCTCTCAAAATAACTATACTACTGACAAGTACTTTAATAATAAATAGACTTAGCGTACAGATATTACAGTGTGCAGTTTTATTTTTAAGGTCACAGGACTCCAGACTAACATTTGAGGGCAGAGACACTGATTTCTATAAAATTATGTGGTAGCACTTAGGCTGACAATACACCACTAAGCTTAATTTAGGGTGTAGATGAAATGAACTTAAATTTTTATCATTCTTAATGTCTTAATATATATTAAAAACTAAGCAAAATGAGTGAAATGAAATTGATATTAGGGAGTGAAAATTGCCAATAAGCATCCCACTGACACTGGTAAAGTGTAAGTGTTTAAATAAGAGTTTTCCTACATCTTAAAAGTTTTTGGACAATATTTGAAGGATGAACCAAAAATGTGGTCCTCACATTAAAAATAACATCTGTATATGATATTTTAGTTTTGAAGTGCTGGGAAAAGATGTGTAGTACTTGTTAGTTATGGTTAGAGTTACTATAGCCTAAACCCATGGTGAATGTTGCTGATTTGTGGACTGAAAGCCTTCTATAAGTGTTTCCATGTCAGCTCTGTTTGATCTGATATCTATGGTTTATAATGGAGAACTCTGCGCCGAATCGGGATGTTTCTCAGTCGATCTCACAGTGATGATGTTATTAATCCTGAGGCGAATTCAATGGATTTCTTTACTGGATCTCCAGAGTCTGGATCTCTCTCCTAGTGACAGGATTGGCCCGGGACTGCAAAGTTTAGGGCGCTGCGCTGTCTAATATTGGTCCGAACTAATAAACGGTCCGCGAAGCATAAATGAGTAGCGTATTTTCGTTCCGCTTTCATTTTGTTTGCATTCGCTGCTGGGCACTGTTGTGGTCGGTCGCGCCAGTGTGACCTAAATAAATATTTGGTTGCACCGGCAGGAAAAATGGTCGCAAAATGCTGTTTTCAAAGAAATCTGAGAGACTTTTCTCCATTCATTGGAAGTATTCATGGTTTTAACGTTCATAAAGAGATCGTAAATAATAAATTCCATATACGTAAATAGAGAGGTTTAATCAAAGTCTTTAATCCAAGAAAAACAATTGTTTTACATGGTGAACAGATTGAATATAGGCATATTCACACACATAAACATTGGTCAATAAATACAAACAGAAGCTCAACCGTTCTTGCTTGACACGCGAGAACAAACTTCATTGGATCTCACGCATCAAGCAAGCACCAAATGTAAATGCTCTATGTATGTTCTCTGATCAATTTGTGAATAAAAGCCCAAATTATATCTATTAATCTTATTAAAGTAGTCATGTCTCTTCAGAAGACTTAAAACAGTTATTTAAAACACATATTAGCCTTATATGGGTTTTTTTGAATGAACGTTTTGAAGCATCAGAGTTTGGGGTGAATAGACTTTCATTTCATTCAAAATATCTTCATTTGAGTTCCAAAGATGAACAAAAGTCTTACAGGGTTGGAATGAAATGAAGAGTGAGTAATTAATGACCGAATGTTCATTTTTGGGCTAGCTGATCCTTTAATGAAGAATAATTTTAAAGTCAAAGTTTTTAGTGATTTCAGGCCCATTTACACCAAGGACAATAACTATAAAGATAACGATGAAGATATAGTTCTGAAAACATTAAATAGCTGTTCGCTCTACAGTTGGAATCACCTCAGAACGATTTACAGCTGATAAACAATAAAAACATAGAACAGCCAATCAGAATCCATGTAGCTGTAGGCTAATGAGCTTGAGCATTTAAAGTGACAGACAAGCACGCACATAGAATAAACAGAATGATATCGTCCGCTGGCGTGTGTGCTAAAATAATTATCTTTATAGTTAACGTTTTTGGTATAAAACTTGCCTTTAGTTGAGCGTGTTGTTTGTATGGTGGCGGTTGGTTTACTGTTTTTGCCTCTTCCAGGTCTCCGCTTTGCCTTCTGTGAAAAATAAACGGATTTCTAGGAAACGGACACATGTTGACTTGTGTAATATCATCCGAGCAGACTGGCCCCTTATGTGGAAGAGAAGGTTATTTAGAGATCACTCTATCGCTTGCTGGACTGTGAGGTGTGATCGCTCCTATTGGCAACGTTCCTTTTCTTTGAATTCTGCGCATTTGGGAATTTTTGGGCCGTAGTGATATTAAGGATGCATGCTAATTTAGATTCAAAAATTAAATACAATTACATTATTGCCTATATTGTTTCTATTAGTAGACTTGCAGACTGTGTGCTTACCAGATCTAAAGATATAAATAAATATGGACCTTTCTCACACTCACGCTTTCTCACTAAACGGCTATGAAATAGTCGCTGGCTCACAGCCATTGTGTTTTCCAAGTAATTCCTAAGTGTGAAGACTTCCGGTTTCATTTCAATTCTCTTTTTTTTTTTTTTTTTTTTTTGTTGCTTTTGATTTTAGAGCAAGAACCTGAGGATTAGTCATAAGATGTTCTTATAGTGTTATTGACTTGTTACATGTTTTACTGGACTAAATGTGCAAAATATGGTTCATATTGTTTGTTTCATACTGGTTTGTTTGACTCATCACTTAAGGATTAATAAGACGTTGTCTTTGCTCAAAGTGATATGCCTGATATATTGCAATAAACAGGCCATTAAAGTATACTAAAATATAACTTAAAACAGCCATTGTTGTCAAGTAGATAAAAAAAAATACTTAAGTATTTTTCCCACACAAGTTTATATATATATATATATATATATATATATATATATATATATAAAATTATAATCCTATGCACACATTTGTTTTTGTTTTCCAGTAATGAACTGCAATGTTTTTGTGAAATTTCTTGGATGTTATGTAAATTTATATCTTTTTTTTTTTTTTAAATCATAGTGAGCATATTGTGAATTTTCCATCTTGTCCAGCTTCACTTGTGCTTTTTCTCTAGCCCTGAATGACTTTTTAAACAGGAAGTGAGTAATTTGTGGTAAAGATTGTGCTGCAAACTCACTTAAAGTTATATGCTCATGTTTATGAGGCCATTATTCATTTGGGATGACACATTGGAGGGGAGTTGATTCCCCTCATGATCTTACCTGTCTAACATGGCCGCACAGAACTCCGTCGCTCGC